CTCCCTTCATGCGCAACCAATCTAAGGACGGCCCCGAACAAATTCCAGCGCTGAGTGATTTTGTACCAATTGCCACTAAACTCAGCCTGTCACTGGATCTTATAAATCAAACAATGTTAATACCTCTGACGTGTCAAAACACCCCGTTTCTGAGGGGAATTTGGGGGAAGTCTGAGGTAGTCTGAAGGGTGACTGAGGGATAGTGTGAGGGGTAATGTGAGAGATAATCTGAAAGTAGTCTGACGGTAGTCTGAGGGTTGTCTGCGGGATAATCTGATGGTAGTCTGCCGGGCAGTCTGAGGGCAGTCTAGGTGGAAGTCTGAGGAGGTAGTCTGAGAGAAGTTTGAGGTAAGACTTTACTCTACCTGAGAGCTTTGGCTTTGCTGCCGCATCGGCGCAGAGTGCGCCTGTTGCTGCTGCTGGGAACTGCTGCTGCTGCTGGAACTGCTGCGGCTGCTGAAACTGCTGGAATGCTGTGGCTGCTGCTGGAACGCTGTGGCTGATGCTGGAGCTGTGCGGCTGCTGCGGCTGAGCCCAACGCTGCTGCTGCGGCGGCGAGGCAGCCCCGCGCGGCGGAGAGCTCTCCACCTGATGGAGATGATGTGCTCGCGCGGTGGCCCGGCTGGGACGCCTGGCGCTGCGCCATCTGGGGCGGCTGCTGCACCACATGGGTGCCTCTGGACCATCTGAGGCCCACGGGCACGGCTGCGGCGGGCTCATCTGAGGCCGTCCCTGCACCATCATGCGCCTGCACCACTTGCGGCGCACCAGATGGGGCCGGCGGCGGCCAACGCGGCCCCGCCGCGCCGCCTCGATCTGCTGAGCGGCGGCGGCGAACTCGGGCGCTGGCTCGGCCGCCGCCGGCGAGCTGAGCCAGGGCATGGGCGCCGAGCGGAGCTGGACGGCCGGCTCGGGCTCGGCCGCCACCGGCTGGATGAGAGAGCTCGCCCTGACCGCGCGCCACGCCGCCGTCGCCGGCGTCCGCCGCCGCCGCTGACGGCTGCTTCGTCACGCGCCACGGCGGGTTGGCAGCGATCTTCTCTGCGGCCGCGTTTGGCGGCGTGGAGGCGCGCTGCGCCTGCACTATCGTGGGACGCACCTGCACTGGCTGCGGCGCGGCCTGAATTAGCGATGGCGGCGCCACCTTTCAGGCGACGGTGGCGCCGCCTGAACAGGGGTTGGTGGCGCCATCTGTGCGCCCTGGTCGTTGCGGAACTGAGGCCGGTGCGACTGCGCGCGCTCGGGCGGCGGCGGCGGCTGCGGCGTCACCGGCGAGACGGGCGCTGCCGGCCTCTGCGACGGCTGCCGCGTTGACGCCTGCAGGATCGACGCCAGCGGCACCGCCTGCCGCTGCGGCGCCGGCGGCGGAGGCGGCGGGCCGGCCGACGGCGGCGGCGGTGGCGGCGGTGGTGGAGGCGGAGGCGGTGCGGCCTGCGGCCGGGTGGCGGCGCCGCCTCCGCCTCCGCTGCTGCGCCGGCGGTGGTGGGCCCTGCACGCCGTCGCTGCGCGCGTTCATCATGATACGCTTCTGCATGCGCGGACCTGCGAATCTCTGAGAGGTCGATGCCGCCAGGCAGGGTAGGTGAACGGCTTCTTGTCCTTGGTGGCCATGCCGTCTGGATCACGGCCGGTGGCTCGCCCGCGGTGCTCGCCTGCACAGGGGCGCGCGCCACCCAGCTGCCGGCAGAGAGGGACAGGGCCACCTACCGTTCAGCGCGGCGAAGCAGACATCCGAGTGAGCGTTGTTAGCTTACGCAGCACTGGTGCCAGGCGCTAGCTTGTGCAGCACTAGCGGTAGATATTAACTTGTGCTACACTGGTGATAGCCGCTAACTTGTGCAGCACTAGTGGTAGATGGGAAGCCACGTAAAGCGATTATAAGACAAGTGGCGCAACGAGGCGAGACGGGTGTAGCAACTGGTGCTGAAAAAGGTTTAAATCATACATTTTATCAGGATTATACGGTTCAAAGCAGTTTGTCTAGATTATAAATCAACTTTACCGAGACTACAGCATACAAATATGCCATTGGCTGCATGGCAGAGACACGTGTGACCAAGTCTGACATTGATAGAATCAAACGAAGTCCTTTCACTTGGCAAGCGTACATTAAGAGAGCCACAAAATGAAGCTCTGGATTGCGGGTGTGTTCTAGCGCTGGTTGGAATGACGGCCACGCTTGTGTCGGATGAGGACTGCAGAAGCAAGAACTGAACATGCTGCTAGGACAAGTTTGATCAGGAGCATCACGTGAATGTGGCTTAAAACAGGGTCATCAATAATAGTTCTTCTGTTCTTACTTTTGCATACTTTTTGCTATTGTTTCTCCAGTCTAGCTGTTGAGGCTTATAGAGGCTATAGACCACAGAAACAATGGTTAAAAGTAGTCATCATGGGTCTAGATGTGAGAAAGTATTCAAAAACGGTCTATCGCCGTCCATTTGCATTTTCGCACAAACCCAGCCATCGTTTTTTCAATACATTCCATCGACATATCACCGTGTAATTAAAATAGCTACTTAATGCGACGATCGGCAAGACTTGCATCGGCCACTAATGATGGTGGGACTGAAACAAAAATGTGACGCCCCACGCAGTCTCTGAGGTTGTGACGAACAGGTTGATCATGGACATGTCCCAGCCTGTAGGCCCGCGTGAATAATTGTGAGCTCTTGGCACATCGCAGCCGTTGTTCTGCTCTGGCTTGTTCTGCTCAGTTCTATCATATTCTGTTCGCAAGCTGCAGCTATCACATCTCTGAACTAATTCATGCGTACTCATGCAGAAAGGTCGCGATGGTTTACGACGCCACAACCGGCAAAGGTTTTGAAGCGCCAAAATAAGAAGCCGTACGCTCAAACTACGCACTGAAGATTAGATAACGGGGTACGGTACGGCCGTCCACAGTCACCACACACACCGGTCACCGAGCCGCGCCTGCGTGGGCATGCACGACACCGGGGAGACTGAGACCCCAACGTAGTCAACGCCTCTCTGCCAATGCTGTACGAATGACCGTGGTCAGAGCCCCCGAAGACGACACGGAGGCCCACAGAGGAGGGCTGCTAATGCTAAGCATGTGGTGGCGGTCAGCGCCGCTGAAGACGACACGGAGGCCACAGCGGAGGGCTGCTAATGCCTAAACATATGATGGCGGTCAGGGCCGCTGAAGACGACACAGAAGCACAGCGGAGGTCTACCAATGTTAAATGAATGTTGACGGTCAGGGCCGCTGAAGACGACACAGAGAGGTCACAGCGGAGGCCTACCAAAGGGCGGCGGCAGGACGGCTCGCTACAGAAGAGGGCCGTGTCCCCCGCCCGCAGCCGAAGCCCTGAGGCTGAGGGAGCACTGTGAGGTGCTGTATCGCGTGTTTACCAGACCACCACAGCGCTGCACTACAGCCAGGGTCACTTCAAAGTACCCCTGCAGCGGTCCCGGGCAAGGAAGACATTCCATGCGGGCTGCAGAGCCCTGGGATGGCAGGGCGAGACGCCTGGGGCCTGCTGCCACCGTGTCAAATGGAATCCTCTTCTTCAGCCTAGGAAGGCAGGGAAGTGCCCCGACCACCTGACCTGTGCCACCCATGTCACCTGGCCCATGCCACCCATGCCAACTGATAGGCATTTTGCTGCCCTTGCTGCTGATGTTCGACAAGCACTGCCTTATCTACAATTCGTTTTAGCCAGTCTCTCTCTCTCTCTCTCTCTCTCCTCTCTCTCTCTCTCTCTCTCTCTCTCTCTCTCTCTCTCTCGCTCTCTCTCTTCTCTCTCTCTCTCTTCTCTCTCTCTCTCTCTCTCTCTCTCTCCTCTCTCGCTCTCTCTCTCTCTCTCTCTCTCTCTCTCTCTCTCTCTCTCTCTCTCTCTCTCTCTCTCTCTCTCTCTCTCTCTCTCTCTCTCTCTCTCTCTCTCTCTCTCTCTCTCTTCTCTCTCTCTCTCTCTCTGCTATCTCTCAATTCACAATTAAAACAAAGATGCTGTTCAGCACATTATCGTTTGATTGCGTTATGAGGCGTTTATATGACGCCAGGGGAGCTGCCAAACTAGCCGTGCGAAACTACCACCGTGGCGGACGGGCTGGCTCACTCGTAGTATTCTAACTTCTCGAGAGGTGTCGTGCTCATGGATGAGCGTTTCCGGAATCCAAATATCCTTATGCGCGCATGGTTTAGCCTTTTCTCGTGATGTTCTTGCATGTTAATCCGTCATTTTATATTGGCTCTTTGCATTCACCTGCTCGGTTATGTCATTTAAGTAGAGTGGTGCCATAAATAGTGCTGGCGTACGCCACACACGAATCATTCGATGACCATATCTAGCATGGCATAGAGCACCACACGGCCATGGTGTGGTGTGACATTATTTGCGTGACGATCCTACGGCGTTATGCATGCCTGGATGACTTTGAGGTAGTCAGCACGAAAAAGTCTGCACAAGTTTACGGGCGCCTAGCTCGAATACCAGATGGGTTTAGGTCTCAAGGAGGGGAGGGCTGTAAACTGCACTGAACAGTCTTCAAAGTGCCTTTCTCAGTTCAAAACCCCATACAAACGTAAAACACTCTCTAAACTTCCGCCACTAAATTCTGCAGTCAACCTGGAATGCACGATCGCTGGTAGCGGTTAGGGCTAGCACAAGCGCTGCTCGGTGTGAGCTCTGCCCAGCAAGTCATCCATTAAAAAAGTTCGAATTAAATCTTCAAAAAATGACGCCATATTTCATGCCAGCGCTCAATTTATGGACGTCAGCAACTGCAGGCGCCAAAATAGATAAACTATTGCAAATCTAACCAAACTTCTCGCCGCAAAGAGAAAACAACTTTTGCTTCAGCATGCACGAAACTATGGAGACAATTCTAGAGACTATTCAGGAGCTAACGGAAACACCGACAAGCAGTCACTTGCTCGCACTACGCCCGCTCGGTGTCATGCCTGCCTTGGCTAATAGCGTCCCGTCGCCATAAGCGGTGGCGTCCCCGTCGAGCTCCGCCCCCTGACTCACCTCTGTGGGGATGCGACGCGCCTGTATGACCCCACTGGGCAGGCCCGGCGGCGGCGGCGGCGGCGGAGGAGCGCCATTGGTGGCGGCGGCCGGCGGCGGAGGCGGAGGGGGCGGCGGAGGCGGAGGCGGCGGCGCGCCAGCCGGCCCGTCCGTCACCGCCTGCTGCTGGCTGAAACAGGGACGGGAGGCGGCCGTCAGGCTGAGCTCGGACCCCGTCAGACCGGCGGCATGTGCCGGCCCGTCCGTCACCGCCTGCTGCTGGCTGAAACAGGGACGGGAGGCGGCGTCAGGCTGAGCTCGGACCCCCGTCAGACCGGCGGCATGTGCCGGGCCCGTCCGTCACGCCTGCTGCTGGCTGAAACAGGACGGGAGGCGGCGTCAGGCTGAGCTCGGACCCCCGTCAGACCGGCGGCATGTGCCGGGCCCGTCCGTACACCGCCTGCTGCTGGCTGAAAACAGGGACGGGGAGCGGCGTTCAGGCTGAGCTCGGACCCCGTCAGACCGGCGGCACGTGCCGGCTCCGACACAGCAGCGCTCGACGAAAGACGGGGCTCATCCTGAGGGCCGCGCCTACGACTGCGCACGTCAGCTTACATTCAGACTCGCGAAACGCACAAAAGCTTTATTCACGGTTGTATAAAAACAAGGTAACCTTACATGTCTATTAAATCCGGTTAGAATCATGTGCGAGGTTTCTTAACGCCGAACACTTCTCGTCCAGACTTGTGCCCGTTCATCCGATTTCTCATTTGCAACACTCGGTAAGAAGCATTAGGTGGGATCTCCATTGACTCTTTAATAGCAGCGCGGTGTCAAAACGCTCGTCGTGCGCTAAAATTGGGCACGACCAAACAAACCACCAGCATGGTATGCTACAGCACATGACGGCCAGCCGTCTTACGCTCCAAGTGGGTATGACCTACTGTGATTGCTACTGTATGGTTTGGTTTCTGCCTAAATTGGTATCAACCCTACGTCCATGCAGGGGTGATACTATTGACTCCTTTCAGTATGGGTGCATGCGTACATGCGCGGGTGCGTGCGTGCGTGGGTGCGTGCGTGCATGTGTGCCAATTATGGGCTATGTTGCTAGTAGCTGCACGCCAAACCATCGGAACTAGCGTCCTAAAACTTCACAACTTTTCACCAAAAACCGCTTTGACCTGACTTGTGAAAATGTCATCCCCCTACGTCAACCAGACGCGGACACACGACACTCTTTCTAGACATGGACGAGGGAATCACCAGCTACTGAAGGCGAAGGTACCGGGTACCACACAGATCCGTGTACCCTGGGTACATGTCCGTGTACCCTGGGTACATGTCCGTGTACCCTGGGTACATATCCGTGTACTCTGGCAAGATCCATGTGCCCTAAGCACAGATCCGTGTACCCTGGCACAGATCCGTGCGCCCTGGCACAGATCCGTGTAGCCTGGGTACACATCCGTGTACCCCGGCACAGACCCGCGCACCCTGGCACAGATCCGCGTACCTTGGGCCCAAATCTGTGTACCCTGAGTACAGGTCCGTATACTTTGGGCACAGATCTGTGTACCCAGCCGATGTTGAAGTGAGTTATAACGCGGCCTATTGCATCAATGCTATTATCAACTGCATCAGGTGTTGGTGATACATGTGAGCTGCTGGGCTTGGGTACAGGAGCAATAGGTGAAGGGTTTGGACGCGTGGCGGTTCATATGAGCTAAGCTAAATGACTCATAGAGACAATATAGTTTAGAAAGCCTCCAAGAATGCAAAAGGTAAAAGATTCCTAGAGACAAGATAATTCCGATAGCCTCCAGAAATGCAGTGCATGCAGGACGCAATCATCTTAAATCTTATTTCCCTAATTCTTAAAATAAATTACATGTGTAGAGATGATGCCAGGCAATGATATAGGGGAGGGGAAGGGGATATTTATTGCGTAGAGACATTGGTGACATTTATTTTATGCAAGTGTTGGGTACTGCTGTGAGACAAACACATACAAGCAATTCTATTGGCCATATTTCTCATTTATGGATGAACACAAGTTTAAAAAATACAGATACCTTAGTCTTTCGGCCACAAGCTATTCGCCAAAATAGTATCATAAATGAACGAGCAATGCATTCCAAGCTATCTGTGTTTCATTTTCATGTCAAACTTTTTTCAAACGCCGAGTCACAATTTCAACAGATTGGAGCTGAGATCTGATCAGAGATACAGCTGTGGTTTCTTCTTTTCTGACCGCTGGTGCTATCTACACTGAAGTTTTTTCAGAAACGTACATAATTATAAGCCCCTGCTGTGTCACACTAGACGGGTGGGTGGCAAACATTTCGAAACCAGTTTATTGCAAATGCTCTGGAGCGTATGCTGCGATACGGCCGATACGACACGACAACATCCATTACTTCAACACTATTTTACATGTTAACAAAACGTGACAGGGATGAGTCAGGTGCCTCGGCAAAAAGATGAGCCGCGCGCCTTATACTCTGCATGGAAACTCAGTTAGTTATACCAGCACAATGCGCTCTAAGAGGAGGCGGTGCGTGGCGATAAACATTCCTGCGTGTGTCACGGACAACGGTAACTAACCGATGTGCTTTTTTATCTTTCGGTCTGGCAAACAAGGCTATCAATCGTCGAAGTCGCGTTAGCATAATAATGATAAACCAGACAACTTGTATTTTCACATATTATGAGCATACCCATGTCCGTCAATGACGTCACAGAACCACGTAAGTTATTAAGCGCACTTGCGAGGAGCGTCATTAACATAGTTAAGACACTAGTAACAGCATCATTCCCCGGAGAAAAACCAGGAGATCATCTATGTCTCCATTCTTCTGGGTTTTTTTCTCCGCGGTACGAGGTTATTACTACTGTCTTATCTACGTTACAAAATCCTTTATCTTTATAGCATATTGGTGAGTGACCTTTTGGCCAAGAAGCGGGCCACCGGCACAAACCTGGGTTGTATGCATCGAATGATACGCCGCACAGATGTCTGAGCCTATCGTTGAGCGTTACATGTCTCCCGGATCCAAACGTGATGAGATCAACACGGTCTAACTCGTAACCCTACACAATGCGTTTGTATAACGCTTTTCTCTTCAGAGCGAGCCATAGACGGCAGCTATCAGCTGTGGAGCCATAGGCAGTTGGAGTAAGTTAGAGACATAGGATGACAGTCAGTGGGATATATTTTGGGGTCTGAGGCGTCAACTCCCCGTTATAACTGAAATAAATGCATGTTGCTGCATCAAAATGAGATCAACGGGAATTAGCTAAACCATTCAAGTTTTTTCCTTGACTAATCCAAAAGCGACCATAAAATTGTGACTAACGTAAGTTGTTCTTTCAAGCCAAAAATTACAACCAACTAAAATACCAGAACTATTGCCCCTTTTCACCGGATCGCCGTGCTGGGCGCCATCATAGAAAAGGCGAACAGGTGGCACTCGCCACCAAAGTGACAGTGCTAAGGTCAAGCTTTACAAGGCTTTTACGGCATGGATAGCAAACCTTGACAGAAAGGAAATTTATAAATCAGAGAGAGAAATCCCTTTTTGCCTAGATTTGACTACAAACTTGTGCGGAGCACAATCCCCTTACAAAATGTCGGTGCGGGTCTTCTGCGCAAGCGTGGGCTCTTCTCTCGTCTAAGTGGCGACAGAGTAAAGGCTATTTGAAAAAAAATAGGCGTAGGGTCATCAGGCAGCGGAAAAGTTCTCGCCGAAAGGCAGTCCTGGTGACTGCACCGGAGCACTGCTTCCGAGGCCGGTGACAACTGGACAGACTTCTCGTTGACTTATTCAGTCAATAGGCACAGTACGAAGCGTTGTGCCCAGGTTGTATCATTCTTTCTAAATCGTTTTGTGCGAGGCAGGAGCTGTCCAGCGAGCGAGTATCAGTCATTTCCATGGCGGTCGTTTAAATCTGCGGTCTTAAGGCTCCCGGAATAATTTTGCACCTGCTTGTAGGAAGACAGAGTTTAAAGCTCATTAACTGCATATATAGACATATATATATATACATATATATATATATATATATATATACATATATGCAAACTATATACTACACATAAAACAACAGTCAACAAGGACTGAGCTGACGTCGTTTGCTCTCTTTCTCAGGCCCGCTCGTACGGATGGACGAGACAAAAGCGTCTCGTGACAAGACCGACGATTGGCTCCTTTTACGAAGCATCACTGCTACAACCGTACGCGTCGTCACCTCTAGCGCCCCGAAAATCTCTAGAATCTCGTGACCGCCTCGTCGGCTGCTTCAGCAGCGGCCGCAGATCCGGCACTAGGTGACGTCATTGCCAGCTGTGCAGCCGCTGCCGCCACATCCTGTCAGCATCAGCGGTGATAAGCCGAAACCGAACATCCCGCTATCCTACTGACCGCTCAGGTCCGGCTTCTCCGTTCTCGCGTCCAGGGGCGCATGCAGGATTTCGTGAAGAAGGGAGCCGCGCCTCACTGTGGTGCCCCCTATCACAAAAGTTCCCGGATTTCGACCACTACTTATTCAGATACCTATTTTTCATGCTGTTCGCTATCACTGGCGGGAAGGGTCCACCGGATAAGCCCATTTTAATTCTAGAGGCCAAATTTCCTCTTTTTGAGTAGAACCTTCTTAACTGAAAGAGAATACAGAAGCTTCCATCGGATACAATTCTGAAAGGAAGTTAGAAGCAAACAAACTAAAAGAAATAAGCAGGAACCAAGTGACCGCACGAAATAAGCCACGGGACTATTCACTTGTAACTGATTCATTCGACCCTTTCTGCAGAACGACAGCAGTCAGGGGGGTTGTGAGATTTCCTCGGGGTTTTACATACTGAGGCGCTTGCGCACGAGCTCGAGCTCAATTCATGGATTGAGCTCGTGCGCGGAGCGAAATAAGGTAAATAATTGCATGATGCGGCCAATCCTTGTTCACCTGGAAAAGACAGAACACAGCGCCCGCCGTTGCTGTCTGCGTGGGCTGCGCGGTGTCGGCCGCGCAGCCAACTCCGCCGCGACAGCGGGCAGCGGAAACACAAAAACGACCACGTCTCGGAAAGGGGTGCTTTCGAACGCATTATTAAATCATTTGACATGCGTGTAGAAGATATCCCGGGCCTTGGGATTCGCCTGTGCGATATTCACATTGATACACGGGACGGAGTACCAAGTACACCACAAACTCATGCCACAAAGGCGTAATCTCTATTGCTGATGCAGCTATAACTGCTAGTTCTGTCCACGGAATGAGCTCCGAAATTGCACGGGATGTCTTTGATGTAGGGAAGGATGGATGTTTTGTCTGGTGGGGAGCCGAGGAGCATTCCGTCCGAGTCCGGGGTTCGTAGCGGCCGCTATTCTGACGATGCGGGGACAGGGCCCCTGACGATGTCTGACTGACAGGGCCCCTATCTGACGATTGTCGATACGGGCCCCCAGAGGACGGCGTATCCCGGTCCCGTCCCTGATGCGGCGGGCCCTCTAACGGGACGTCTGGCATACGATCGACCTGGGTCCTCCTCAGGGAAAAAGGGTCCCCTACCGGCGCGGGGAGTCCAATTATTGGCACCGGGAGAAAGTTCGGTGCCAGCTAGTGCAGACGGCCCCTCCTTCGGTATTAAGGTTTCTGATTGGGCACGGCCTTTCCGCCGTTTCCTAATGAGCCTTCACAGTGTTCATGTTCACATGTTCATCAAATGTTCCTAATGAACATCTACATCGTCACTTATCATGCATTCTTTCATTGCCATGTGATGTACAGCCGACGCAAGATGCCGTAAGTCATCGAGGCCTCGTCCTTGTCCTTGTCCAGCAAATGTGCCCCTGGCCGACCTGGGGTCCACTGTCGGCACAGGGCTCCCTGCCTGGCACCGTGGGCCCCTCATTCTACTAACTGACATAGAGGCCCTCGCTGTCTCATACCGCCCCGATCGGTGCAAAGGACTTCCGACTGACATTTGACCTTTTGACATTTTTGGGTCGGACCTTCAAGCTGGGTCTCTTCAAATGACCTCCAGCCTGGTGGGGGATACAACATTGTTGTGCCCCTGGAATTTGGTGCCCTGTCATAATGAATGGTTCGGGCCCTTTGTGGTGCCCCCTGGGTGTCCTGAAACGAAGGCCTTGGTGCCCCTTCGCCGAATGGCCGATCCACGCTGTGGTAACGTGGAGTTTGGTGACTTCCGAAAATGAAGATTTGGGGCCTTTTCTGGTGCCCTAGCATTTGGTTGTCATTTGAAAGCAAAGGTTGTGTGCTTCCGAAATGAAGATTTTGGTGCCCGTTCACGAGATTTTGATGGTCCTTCGGCGTACCAAAACCTCATTGGGCCGAAGGGGGAGGGGGCGGGGGGGGGGGGGCATGGCCCTATGGCTCCTCCTTTGGACTCGCCCCTCCTCATGCCAACCGAAACCACCCGACCACCGCGCCACCATCAGAGTGTACACTTACGCCATGCTGAGTATCTGGTCCATCACGCCCTTGTCTTCGACGACTTGTTTGGCCTGGGGCGCGCGCCCCACCATGTCGCTGCTCTGGCCGTGGTAGTTACCCAGCATGCCCCTGTACATGTTGTACACGAGCTTGCGCACGCGCGGGTCGCTCGGGTCCACCTTCTGCGCCATGGTCACGTGACACAGGTGGCTCGGGATGGGGGATCGTGCCGGCACGCCTTCGCCCGCGGTTGGAACACCAAACGCGACGCGTCACAGTAGCGTTATGTCACACGACGGCGGCGTCACAAATCACAAATGATGTCAGGTTGCTACCGAAGAACAAGTGCGTGAGGAACGAAGCACGATCAACGGTAGGGAAGCGTCACTCGCACCCGCAACTCCACACAGAGCTGCTAGCGCACGTGTGCAAGCGCTGACCCACAACCACCCACTCTGCACTGTCGCACCCCCTTGGCACAGCCCGCGCTGCTAAACCCGGCACGCCGTGTCACTCAGCCTTCAGCTGTGGACTGTCCGCCCCGCGCCGCGCCGCGTCGGTCCGTGACGTCACCAGACCACTAGCGTGACGTCACCTCGAGCTACTGGAGCGCGTTATCGCCACCGGCTTCCTCCGCCGGCCCTCGCTGGCGTCGCGAAACCCGAGCATCTCCCGCAGCGGAGGTGCGTGTGCCAACCGGCGCACGTGCGCCCACCCGCGGTGAATGATGAGGGCACCTCCGCTCAGGGAGGTCGCGTCAATGGAGCGCCTCCGTGGGTGGGATGAACGGTAGATCGAGGTCTGAAGCGGTTCGCGGGGTCGATTTCCTCCATCCCTCGTGTCAGGCGTTATTTTTATGCGCGCGGTCCGTGGAGGTCGTTGGGGTCAGCTCCGAGAAGAGATGAGAGCCGTAAGCTGTCCCGTACTAGGCAATTAAAAGGCAGACGGACGGTCGGGAGCCGCGGCCAGCCCCATCGAAAACGCTGGCGCGACGCTTGCGTTTCATTTGTGACGCTTTAGCCCTTCCTGTAATCGACGCCCACTCAGCGACGCTGGGGCATGCATCGGCGGCCGTCGGACGGCGCCGCGTCGGACGCCCTGCCGTGTGACGGCCCGGCCCAAACGTGTGACGTCACGGCGCCGCTGACTCACGCCGTGACAGGGACACTGCAGTCACGCCCAGTGCGCACCGGCCGAAGCGGCCAGCCGACGTGCAATCTGCATGATGGTGGCGAGCATTACGAATCATAGGAATTCAGTCATGAAGAATCATGGAGAATGGCAGACGCTTGGCGATGGCGCGAGAGAACACAGCGAAGCACCAGGTACAACCCAGGTACCTAGCTGTCTCGGTCATGCAGCCGTGGTCCTACATCCAAGGCGCGTACCCCGCTTCCCGTAAACGTGTGTGGTCACCGACGCCCGATCATCGGTGCGCCGACCGCTGGTGGGAACGCGGTGACAGGCAGCAGCCTGTTACGCGCCGGCCATGCTCCAAAGTCGGCGTCAGAACTATGCCACGTTGGTGGAGCCCTTGTGGAAAGAAGCGATCGCTCAGTGTTTGTGCTGATCGTACTGCGAACCATACACATGTTCGGGCTGGACAGACTCTTAACGATTGAACGTGGCCAGCGACCACACGATGATGAAGAGCCTGCGGTATCTGCATGTCACACAGCGCTCATTGCTTTAGTTTTTGCACTTCCTCTTTGTTCAAATGTGTACTGACTCCAGCGTGGCAGGAGCGTTGCGCTGACTCAAGCGAAGCAGGAGCCGTGCCACACCGAGATGTGTCAGCGCCGTGGAACGGCTGGCTCGTTGCAATGTTGGCGAGACCACATTTTAGGTAGATGGCGAGAGAACGGTCGGAACGTCAAGACAGGGGCCTCATTTGTAAAAATAGAGTGGAGCCCGCGTGAACCCTGTCAGTCACGCGGCCGGACCACATGACCAGACGGCGGGGCCCAGGCAGCGAGGGCGTCGGCGTTTTGTGGAGTTGCAGGCTCGTAATAGGAGGCGTGGGCACCCCGCCCCGGACCCGCGCAGTTCTGTAACCCCCCCCCCCCCTCCGGCGCATGATCTCATCGCGGGGCGTCACCATGGCAACGCGCCAGAGAATGTGTCAGCTGGCAGGGTTTGCTCCGTTAGAGCCAGCTGAGCCAGTGACCTCCGCCTGCCAGCCAGTCTGAGGTGTCGCGTGGGTTGTAGCGCGGGTGGGGCTCCAGAGCATGGATGCAGCTTCTTGTTCAGTTGAAGGCGAGGATCTCTAGCTCCCAGTTTAGAAAGAAAGTCGGCTAGATTCGCGGATAAGCACGTTACTGGACATATTTTGTGGTATGTTTATGTAATTTTCACTCCTTAGCCCCCCCCCCCAACTTATTTTTCAAGACTACACCGCTTACTCTACACCCTATCAAGCACGCTGCACAGACAACAGGATAATCAATCTTTTAGGGGGGGGGGAGGTCTCATGCCAAAATCTAGGTAAATCCGGTTGACGCCACCATATTTTCTACTTGATCATTTCAATGAATATATTACAAAATGGCCTAGTGTAAGTGTTCAGTTAATTGGAATGACCTTACTATAATGAAACAGTTTCAGTCATGTAATAAAGAGTGCCTTTGAAGGAATGTCCGGCACGGACCATGCTAACAACTCCAAAATGTAGAAATATATAACGGACACGGATATAAATGCCACAAAATAGCGTCTGTTTTATATGTAAGCATTTCAACCAATGTTTACAGGGATCATGACCGAACGGTCATCAAAATGCATCTCAAACAGATGCAACTAAGGTGTGGTCATTTTAATTAAATTGAAATGGGAACTCCCGGTATTCTGCACCCATTGCAAGCAGGCACCCATTATCAAATCAAGGAGATATCCCAAGCATTTGCACGTAAGTGGGGCAATATAGATTCCTGTGATTTCTTTATCGCATGCTTGTCATGGGCCTTTAACTATGCAGTTACCTTTGTAATGTATCGAAGCCAGGGTTGTGGAAAACCAGCGACATTTTTGGACGCATACGATTTTTGCATCGTCATTACAGCACACAAGGTAGCATTGAGTAGTGATTACTACAGGCATTTGCCGACCCCTCTAGAAAAGGCTGTGGCTTGGCTTATGTCTCCGAGTCCGAGCATCTGACTCGAGATTGTTGCCATGGACAACGAAGGCACGTGGCGATGACCTCACGGTCTAAGGGACTTTGCATCAAACCGTCGGTGTGATGCGGTGAGGCTGAGGTGTGATGGAAACCCCAATAACAATTTCAATCCAGTAATTCCTCTACGCCCACGACCACACGTTTCTCGGATGTGTGGCGTAAGCCGCACCCGGCGAGGACGCAATAAGGGACATGGGCCAAGGGCGTTCCAAACGTCACAGACTTCTTGTGTTAATGTATGATCGGACCACACCACTTTGAAGGCTAAGAGCTCACGTCAAAAGGTGGCCTTTTTCCGAGTTCGTCCCCGATAGAGATTGACGACCAGGGGGGGGGGGAGGGGAAAGATCCGCGCCCACCTCCTCATCTCCAGATACCCTGCCGTGAACCCAATGGCGTTGCTTAGCGCGAAATAGATCAGAGACTGTTTCGCCTCTTTGTAGTGCTTGTCCATCCGGCGGGCCCAAGGGGGGGGGGGGCCGGTGCGCAGCCCCGGCAGAGGCCCCTCAGGCCTGGCTGCCAGGGTGCCAGCGATGCCGTCACGTTACAGTGCAGCCGCTTCCGAAAACCGCGGGTTATCTTTAGCGCGGGACTGTCGTCAGCGGCAGGAGGAACAGGAAAGTCGCCTATGGTGCGCAGGTTATGAAGTCAGAACGTTGCGGTGGTTTGGACGTGGACACGTTCAAAATGGCGCGGGGCTGGCTATCCCCACCTGGACGTCGATTCTTGCCCCGCGTCACCTTAATCTTTACCTTGAATTAATGAAACGCTGAATGGCCCCCACCCTTGGCAACCCACCACTTTCATAACAATGCACACCAGACCGCGACCGGAGCGCAGGTCAGTGAGTCATCTCTAGGGCACGCTGTTGTTTCACCCGATGCATTAGGAGATCGGCAACCCGCCAGTCCTCTCCAATCCTATGTTGCGTCTCTTAACGCTATATCGTTGACATCGGTGGCCTGTGTAACAGTGTTATTTACTGGTTGTACACACAACTCATGCCCTTTTGTATTTGTTGCACAGTTTTTCCACGCCCTGCGTCGCGAATATAGAAGGTGGATCTTTTTAATCAATCACGGTTTCAAGTCTGAGAACGTGGTATTTACGTATGCCAACGTTAAGAGCCACGCTAGGTCGCAAGTTTTTGCAAGGCATAGTGTCAGTCGAGGTCATTGTAGATCGCTGACCTCCACTGCTGCCAATAAGTTTAAACAATAAGCCTGTTGACGTTTTTTATCAAGGGATTTTAAATGAATGCCAAAACTACCTTTCAAATGAAGCTTTCCGGTCAAAAAGCTGTTTGGTTCCGATCTATATCTAACCTTCATAGCTGACACAGAATCAATGGGAATTATTGTAAACCTAATTTCAGTGGTCAAGTTATCTAAGAAACCACTTCGAAGCTGCATGTATGGCTTCCTCTAAAACTCTGTTGATGCATCAGCTTCGAACGTCCTCAATAACTGCCTTTGCTGACGAAGCCTTACTTTGATTCGATCCAGAACTGCAACCTTGAAGTACTTCTTATTTTCTGACCACAAGGTCGACTACTCCATTGCCCATAACTATGCACCATCTGGCACGACTTCACCACAACGTTGGGAAGTAATTCTAGAAAAACCTAAAAGTCGGCCAAATCGACCGCCCACCCGACCCGGGCCCGCCGCCCGTCACGTCACTCGTGACGTCATCAGACTCGTCTCGCGCAAACATCCGCCTGCGGCTACTGGTATGACCACGGGCGCCGCGTCTGTCGGCGATCTAATCGAAGCCGCAAACAGCGCGGTCACGTGGTTCCGTCGCTCCGCAACGGTGCTCGCCTTCCCTTCAGCGGCGCTGCCGCCGGCGCGGTGTTCAAATCGAACCGTTTTTTTCTATACGGTGGGAGCCAGCTGAATTTCTATTTTAACGTCTAAATCGAGGATGGTAGGTGGTGAGACTGAGCGGTGTTGTCTCTTCATAACAAGATGGATCTGTGATAAGCTGGGCATAGCGTAATTTCGCTTGATCAGCCTGGCTATTGCCTGCACGACGAATGAAACGGAGCGTATTCAGACTCATCGTTCCCTGTCGTAAATACCGCTGTGCAGCGCGAACTTAGCAAGACCGATCACCAACACGGAGAGACGAAACATCAGCGACGGCTGACCCGTCCCGTGGCTAGCCAGATCGCCTGTAACGCCGGCTGCCAGATGACTCGACTCCGGATATGGCAGCCGGCGGCCGGGGCGGCCGGATTCCAGGG